GCAACCAATCTTACACTAGAAGGAAATTAAAATGCCAGTTGTATAGTTCTGTAAGGAAATATAATCGAAGTTTGATAATTTATAAAATAAATATGTTTACATATTATTGTGGGTTAATAGGGGATGGAAGAACTTGTATCTGAAATCAGAAAAAGCTACATAACCTTGTAAGAGGAGTCTGAGGGAAAAAGACCTGTTATGGTCACCAAGTCCGACTGCCCCTACAAAGTTTTCATTTTTTTGGGTGAAAACTGAGCCACCTGAGTTTAAGGCATGTGTTTTTTGGGGTAAATAATTTGTTTATACTGAAAGGACTTAAGGGAACAAGTGACCAAAGAAAAGGGATAAAAATGGAAGGATTAAAAAAACCAAAAATTGAAGAAATTACCCAGAAAAAAAAGGGCATCATTTAAATCACCAGAATTTGTGGAATACACAGATGTGATATAGAAATCGTTCAAGTAACATTCATTTTAATGGTACTTAAGGGTTTCAAGAGATTTTGTATATTTTAAATTTGAGGCTTATCAGATGAAAAGCATGGTTGATTCTACCTTTGTTGATCAAATCTTTCTGGATATCATAATTCTATGGCAATCTAAATATAGACAATATTTAAAACATTTGTATCACTCAATTTCATCTGAACTATACTGCAGTTACCAGCCCACTATTTACATAACCTTCTGTTTTATTTAGAAATTTTCTCTTGCAAACACAGTTGCTAACACTATATTTTAATTTTCACTTGAATAAATTTGTAAAAATTTTAGAATTGATTAGCTGAAAATCCTTGAATTTTTTTTCCCTAATATTTTAAGTTCATCTGAATGAGATATTGATGAGATATGAATTCCTCACCAACAATCCTGTAACCAAAATCAGGTTTATAAATACAAAGAACCGAATAGCTCAACATATACATAAATTTCAGTACACAGATCAGGAATCTATTGAATCTGAAATGGTTTTTTGTAGTGGTTAAATTGCAGCCATATTTTCTAAGCTACCATCAAAAGTTGTCCCTAAACAGACAGAAGACCTGCAGAGGAAACAGGAGTAAGTTCTTCTGACTTTCACTATTAGTAGGATACCAGCTTCCTGTCTGACTGCTGAAAATCTTCCCAGTATCTCATATGGTTTCATTCACTTTTTCTACATAAAGAGTTAGAGGAGAAAGAGGAATGAGAAAAGACCCAGTTGGAAAAAACCACAAACAAAACATAACCCCCCCAAGAACCCCACAAAATCAGTTATGATATTAACAGCTTAGCTGGAGATTTTTCTTTATGTAAATAGTAGATACTGCAACCTGGCCAGCTGGTTCATATACAGCAGAGATGACTTGCTCAGACAACATTTCAGCTACTGTCACCCCTCCCAGTGCAGGAGATGAGAGCAAACCTTTATTCACAAACCTCTTGTACCAGATGCATTTGAAAAACAACTCATGTTCGCTTACGGCTGTTCTTAACTAGGGTATACAAACATTTCCAGAATATGTGCACACACTGCAAGTGATGTACATGTTTCCAGGCTTTGGTAATTACTCTCCATGAAATGGCTTTTGGGTGCCCTTTGTCCACTTGCCCTCCCTCAATGATTTTCACTGACTTTGCTTCTTCTCTGCCTTTTTCCAGTTTCCCCAGTATCTCCTGGGATATTTGTTTCTGACTGATTTGTTCTTTGCTTATACACTACCAACATCAAGGGATTTTACTAGCTAATATAGGATTGAAACTTTAGCAATTACCACCTACTGCTGTATTATAAAAAGCAAAGGTGTATAGAACAGCAAGAATTCTCTGGCAAAGTTGTAAGCAAATACACAGTCTTATAAAGTTCAATTATTTTCCACTGAAAGAAAAATGGAAAGGATTAAAAGTGCTGGGCAACATGAAATCTGCAGCATACACACAACAGAACTCCATTTCATTTTCTAAGGAAACAGTTATGTTTTCAGAAGTAACCATTTACATAATATAACACATCAACATACAAACTGCACAAGTGCCTTTATTCTAAGTGTTTCTGAAAGAAATTTATCTGAATTTTTGATTTTTGCTTTTCTAAATGTAGTATGCATTACTAAGAAGAAGCCAAGGGGCAAATCTGCTCCTTCTCCCAAGTAGTCATGGAGCTTATATTTACACAGGAAAAAAATCACTGGCTGATTTGCAAAGTTGTTTGGGAATGCACCCTATACAAGATGTTCAAGTCCATCCTACTTTTCCACACCCTCACACAAACCATATGCTCTCTAATACTTCCAAAGAATGAAAAAGCTACATTAGAAATTATAATTTCTAACTTCACTCATTTCTTTTTTTCCTAGAGTTCCTGCCCAAGGAACATTGGAAATTCTTAGGAATAGGACCCGTATTAAACAGGAATTATGTGTCTCACCAGTCTTTGCTAGATCAGCAAAAAAAGCTGCAACCCCAAACTCTAACCCAAAAACCAGAAAAAAAAAATCTGTTCTGTCAAAGGATGGTCACAGAGGACCACACAGCAGTAACAGATCTCCAGACTCTGACAGCCCAGTCCACACAGCAACATATAACCTCACATGTAAAGCATCATCATAACAACAGAATTTGCAAAGTAATGTTATTTTCCACATTGTGGTAACTTTATGATGCTCTTTTCTGTTGTCTCTTACAATTATGAACTCTTCTTTGGTAACAATAATGGAGAAAGAAGCAATTTATTATTCAAGGGGAGTGAACATGATATAGGTTAAGTCTTCATTTTGCTTTCTTTCCAACAGACATGATACAGAGAATAAAATGTCCATTTAAATACACAAGTATATGTAAAGATACATTTCTCTCTCTGGAAACAACAGTGAGGCAGAGTATTAATTTGGTCTCCAAAATACCAGGAGTCACAAAACTGTCTGCTTGTGTCATCCTTTGATTCATGGTTCAAGAAATGCAGTTAAATAATCATTGCTCCAGATTCCCCAATTTTTCATGAAATTCACTCACGAGTTGTTTGAAGAAAGAGTTAAACAATAATAAATTAATTCAGATGTTTATTCCCTTTCTTTAAATAGTTTTTCAGCATTTTAAAATCAGAAACTGACATTCATGAAGAAGATGTATTTAAGAAAAGACCATGCACTGGTCTTAAAACCAAAGAGTTTACTGCTCTCTGGAGTAAGGTTTTTTTTTTAATTAGTATTTCTTCCCTCTTTAATTGAATTAAACAACAACAACAAAAAAAAGGCAACCAAAATTATGAAGACCACCAGCGCTGCGAAAAAAAAGAAAATGTCTCCCAGGGTTTTCAGTTCTCTTCCCTCAGTGTTCTGGAGTCCAGATGTGGAAAGCCCAGTGGAGCTGAAAACATTTTTGGAGGGTGGAGAGAAAGTTTTGATGCTACTGCTGTAGCCTTATTTTATCCAAACCAGACAATTATCTTTCTTTGTGAAGATTAAAAAGCCAAACAACAACAAATTCCACCTTTTGTATACTGTTACTAAACATTATTTTTAAGTGAGCCTGCTAAAGAAAAATAAACTCTGCATCTTCTTAGCACTTAGAAGCAAAGAAGGCCTTTGCAAGGCCGCCTTCCTAACTCAGAGTAGAACATACAGTGTATTCATCTTCTCTGGAATCCTGTTGGTCAGGTGTGTGAGTCTATTTTTAAGATATATATTTTCCTGCTCACATATCAAGCAAACACATATTGATTTGCTGCAGCCATACCAGGTCACAGGCTACAGAGGAATGTTTCCATATCTTATGCAGCTACACCTGGAATATGGTGTTCAGCTAAGTGATGACAAGGGTGGTCAGTGAGGTGATGATAAAAGTTTATAAATAGCTTAAGAGGGTGAACTCCAAAGAGGAAGAAGCATTGTTTTAAGGTGGACTGAACAAGCTTGACTGGTAAAATCAAAAAGATGCCCTGACACCCAGGGCCAGGCATAAGGTGCTGAATAACATGGTACAATTGCCAGCAGAGCAGTCTGTGCTTGGTCTTGCATACACCACAGACATACAATGAATTTACTATTCCATATTAATTATTCTGGTAAATTTCCAAGCACTTCAACTGCTAAATTAGGCCCCAAGTTCAACAGTCCACCAACAGGAACCACACATTGGGTGTATTTAGAGCTACATGAGACATAGCCCTGGAAACACAAAAGAGGAAATAAATCTGCCCAGACAGAAGGATGGACACAAAACCTGACAAATCTATCGCACCTCTATTTTCTGTAGTTCTAGGAAAACATGCATGTGGGATTTGGGAAAGGTCTTTTTAATAAGGGTTAATTGGAGAAGTATGTCACACATGACTGAGTACCGTTTCAAATTACTGCTCACGCTGGCATAACTAAATCAGACAAATGACAGAATACCAAAATAGGGGATAGTCAATCTTCTTCCCTTCTATTTAATCTTTATAGCTTCATTATTCTCAAATATCAGCAATTATAGATTTTACAGAATTGGTTACTTCTTTAAAATATTATTATGACCATATCATAATATTCCCCAGAGATCCAGAGTTCTGTAAAATCTTTCCTCTGTTGTTGAATTATTAATCTAGGCTTTGGAACTGCTGGTCTCATTTATGTGCCTTATGTGATGCAAAATTCAAGAGAAATGATCCTGATACAGTCCTTTCTGAGCGTAAAACAAACAAACAAACAAACCAAAACCAAAACAACAACAACAAAAAAAAACAAATTGGAAAAGAGAGAACAACCACACTTTAGCAAGCCAGATTAGTTATTCCTGTAAAAATCATCTTACAGTCTCTAACACTGTATTACTCTAAAAGTCAGGTCCCTATCCCTGAACCTGAAAAAGTCACTTCAGTTTCTCTCTGCTGCCCGAGTTAACTGCAAGCATTTCCTGACACTAGGAATGCAGGCAGAAAAAGGAAAAACGTCGACTTGAGAAAAGCACAGCTTCCAATCCCCACCCACCAGCTTCAGTCAAAGGGATGACTTCAGTGCCTTTCTTAACTAATCCTGTCACTGTAAAATCCTACAGTCATTCTTCCACACATAAAGGGAAAACGGACTCACTAGGAGGACCTAGACTCTTTCAGCTTGAACTGTTAACCAATGGTGGAAATGCAAGAATGCTGAAGTTGTGCCTTCAGAGCCAATAGAGTGGATTTGTGTGTCCCACATGACTGTGTTTCCTCTGTCTTTCACATGGGCAGTATTTAGTTCAATTCAGAACTGCAGATAGTATAGCGTGCAGAGCAGCAATGGGATGTCTGAGCACAAGTGGCTGACTTCCAGGCGACTTCAGGAAGCACATTTGTACATTTCTCCTGAATTTAACTGGGATTCTGCACCCTTGACACCCTCCGACCCTCCTTGTCTCTGCAGAAGGAGACAGCGACCTGCACAGCACAACAAAACTGTGAGTACGGGGACTATTTATTTTTATTTTCATGCAGGAAAGCAAATATCTTAAAAATGTCAAAATGTTATGTTCATTAAATCAATGATTACTTTTCTTATGCGATGAGCAAGTATCTAAAGTGATATCAAAATTCAGGAATATTTCTTGCATGCTTCAATAAGAGAAAAGAAAAAAAAAGAAGAAAAAAGAAAAAGCGAGTTATCCTCCAGGGCAGTGCCTGCATGCACACTGCATGACACACTGCTTCCTGACATAGCCAGCGTGCTGCTTTGTTCATAAAGAAAAACAAAGACAAAAAGCCCTACACACGTATGTTGTTCACTTTTATTTGTACTCTGTGTCTAATCAGGCCTGATCTGTCCCCAAGGGGAAAACATAAAGGCAAACTTTAACTCTGCCAGCAAGGGCAGCCCAGACTTTCCAGACATCTGACAGTTATTATAATTAGCTATGAAAGACAGCAAAGACACTTTGGGGCAAATAGCTCTTACATTTGGAACAATGAAGTCGAGCAAGGTTCCCATCCCACCCCTTCCACGGGGGGAGGGGGAGAGGCGAGCCAACGGGGGGAGTGTTAGAAAGGGTTATGGCTGGACTGAAAAAACACTAGTATAATATCTGGACTCACTCAGCATGAGGAGAGGCTTTTTGATAAGCAACTTTACCTCTAGATTGCGGCTTGCATTCACTCAGATTCCTGGTGGGGTGGGAAAGGGTGTGGGGCTCTTCACGGTATAATGTCAGAAAGTCGGGGTGGAGGGGGCAGTGGAGATGAAGGGGGCAGAAAGAAGAGAATATCCATAGCAAGAGACATTGAAATTGCTTCCCAGAGCTTTACTGGCCAGATCTCCTTGAGCTCAAGTTGCTTTCTGGGCAAGATTTATGAGAGTTCTCAAACAGAAGCAACAGACAAAGCAGTGCTTTTTTTCTTCTTCCCCGGAAAAGAAATTGAACCCAAACGAATAACTGTATAATAAACAGCACTGATTTGTATTTTTGCTTTTTTTTCCTCCACATGCTCATTAGATCTTTAATAAGATCTTTCCCCCCTGCCTGCACGATCCTTTCCACCCCCCCTTCCCTACTAAAAGTTGGATTCTGAAAACTACGATCAGAAGGGAAAAAGCAAAGACAATAGAAATCTGACTCAGTCCTGGTTGGGCTGGATCTCTAATACTGCATGAAGTGAAAACAGTTTTTAAGTGAAAGATGAGCAGACTTCTTTAAAAAAAAATAAAAAATTAAGTGCAATAAAGAGAAATTGTTGAAAGACTCCAGACGCTACTAATTATGGCTTAAATAAATCTTCCTGGACAGATGTTTGCTTGCTCCCGCTGCAGGGACAGGAACGTTAAAAGAAGCATTTTTTAAAAAAAAAAAAGGATTTGACGTGATTTTTTTTTTTTTTACATATGATTTCTTTTTTTTTTTTTTAAATACACCATTTTATTCTTTGTCTGCCCTCCTGTTATCTCCCCCTCCCCCAACCGCCGCCCACTGTGAGCTGAGACACCTGAAGGCTAGACACAATGATCAACAGAGCACTGCGCTCGCCTGTCTGGATTCCAGCCAGATTTTTTTTTTTTTCCCCTCCACAATCAAGGAGCCTGCACGCAATGCACGGCAAGCCCCTTGCTCTGCTATGTGCAGATCAGACAGAAGTCTGAACCGTGCTGCAGAAAGATTAAAGCCAAACACAAGCCTTTCCTCCTTATGTCGGCCAGGCTCGGTTTCAACTTTGTTATGATTCGCAAAAAATACAAAATAAGAAACTTTGTAAACATATATACACATTATTGTACAAAACATACGCACATGTACACACACTTTCCAACACAGTGTAAACAGGGGCATCAAATGTTTCCCATTTTACTGTGATTTCCACTCTAGCTTTACAGTCAATGCAGTATTTTACGTTAAGTTCATGCATCACTTACATAATTGCCGTGTAGCTCTCAAATACTAGGTAAAGATTTTGTGTATGCATATGATATATTACATAAAGGCAAATAGCTACCGTCCAGATACCCATGCCTGAATGCCCATCAAACTGAAATATTTGAAAACATTTGGGTTTAGATAGATTAGCGAGAGCTCCCAGACAGTTTTATGGTAGTTTTAAACAAGGTAGTAGCAAAATGCTTTGTAAGTAGGTTGTCTTCAAATGAAGAAGGGGAGCGTGGCAGGGGACTAGTTAGCTGGCCTTGTAACCCCTGGCCTTCCTGTTGCCACAGACCAGAGAAATGCCAACTGGCCCAGTGTCATTGTGCCAGAAAGTTGGTTTTGGGAATGCAGTACTCCCCAAAATAGTTGCTCTACGTTTGGTGTGGCTATGGGTGGGGTTAGCAGAGGCATACAGAGGAAAAGGAGATTCAAAGCATTTATTCTATTTAATTTTTAAATATATGCCATGTGGACCTATATTCTAAGTTCTTTGGAATTTCATTGTCTTCTGGTACAAATTACGGTGAGACACACATGATGACTAATATTTATTTTTTAATATGAACTTTGTGTGAAAAAGACTTAGAAGAAAACATATTTTTAAACACACAACCTACGTACACTGCTTTTAATTTACTCCCTGAAAAGGCCGAAACTATATTTTAGTCACTCTAACAAGTATCTTAATGAAAAGATGGGAATTTTTCTTGGCTTTTTTCTTTAATATTGCTTATAAACACTATGAGGAAAGGAACCCAGCATAACTATCCCATTTAGTCTTAAAAAAAACTTCCTTTCCAAATAGCAGCAGAGACATGCAAACAAAAGGTTGCACGTAGTTGCAGCAATATCCACAGCAAGATTCCAGAATAGAGATTTAAGAAAAATTAAGTGAATCAAGAGCTGCGGTCAAATTTATATTCCTGTATTTTATTTTTTTAAAAGCAAGGGATATGATGCTTTTCTAAAGGAACACTTTATATAACCTTATATGAAATATACAAGCAAACTCAACAATGGTCATGCACAAGAAGTGTGCACTTGTAAGCTACATGTATATAAGCATGTTAAGTATATTAAGGTGATAATTTTCTTTCTACTTTACCTGGCATATTATGCTTTAAAAAAAATAAAACGCGCCACTTGTTTCAAAAATGTATTTTGAAATAATGCCTGCAGCTACATTATGAAGTGCTGACTTTCATTTTCTTAGGGTAATGACAATAAGCAATCATATTTTTATCCTTTCCTAAAGGTTGAAATCCTATGCAAATCAATTCCTCTAAACTTCAGAAGGGATTTATACACTACATTGTATTAGAAGGACATTTCAACTGGCAATTTATGTAATGTTTGTCAATGCAAAAGTAGTGACTAATCACATAAGAATTAAGCATTAAACCTGAGAATATGAATACAGGGTCCTTGCCTCCATGTTTAGTTCAATTCTGTCCCCTTCTCCCAGTAAGGTCTCTTGGGTTTTGTGAGTGCTGGGTGTTCAACAGCTCTGACTAAAGTAGGTAGAAGATACAAGTGACCAGTGTTTCTGTAAGTATGGCATTATCCTCCTGCTGTTGTTGTCCAGCCACCTGAGATTTGGAGCTGTGTGTTCTAGCTTTTTAAGCAATGAGTTTATTTACCTAATGTGAAAAATTCTGACCTCTGTTTTTTTGCTGACTTCTTTAAAATTTTTAAAAGCTGATGTTGAAACAATGCAATCATGGAAGCTCATGCATATTTATGACTCCATTCCTCAAAAATTTGGTATCTATTACAGCTTGTCTCTTAGCCTGTGGCCTACAGTTGGTTGTGCAAACTCCATGGTGCTACTCGCACAAATTTCAACTTCTAATTTCCTTTTTTAAACTTTCCTCTCCCCTTTTCCCCTCATACTTCCTGTTGCATCCTCCTGTTTGAGCCTTTCCTAGTTCAAGCAGAAGTGCAAGTTTTAGTCATAGGAATAAAGTGCTCAGGATTACCCCCAAAACTTTCAAAATTTTGGTAGTTTCACTTATACCTTTGCAGAGCTGAAGTAACTTGACAACCTACCAGAAACATAGACAGTCTCAATAAGGTAATGGGGTCAAATGAGCTCATGCATTACAGATAGGAAGAGAACCGCACATTGCATTTTTATAGATAGAAATAGAGTGTTTTAATGTAAACAGATTTCTGCTTGATATTTTAGCAAACTGTTACAAAGCTCAAACTACAGCAGAGTCAAAATGACTTTCAGCATGGTACAGTTAGACCAGATGGCCACGTGTTCTTTTCTTATTTAGATGAGACTTTTCCTTTCAATAACATCTTTCTTCCTGACCTGCTTAAAAATTCCAGCGAATGAAATCAGCACAGGATTTTCAATTCTAATTGACCATGTGCAGAGGAAAGGCCAGTAGAGAAATCAGTAGGACCATTGTAAGGCACACTGCATCAATCTCTCCTTTGTCCTGAATCTTTTCTAGTATGAGATGAAATAATTAAGAATATTTAATTTATATTATTTGTACAGTGCCAAATCTAGTAGCATTCAGGCAAAAATCATGGCAAGTTCCTCTTTTAGAAATGTGTGTAACAAGGAATATGTACGTCTATCAGACACCAGCCAAACAGGTACTTGACATCATTTAATGGCCAAATAGTAAAAGACCCAAAAAAACCCATAAAAGCAGAAACAAAACTGCCAAAACAAACTCAGGCAAAGAGTGACCAAAAAGATTGAAAGGTGTGGGTGAACTAAAGCATGAAATGCTTTGCCTTTTCTAATGAAGGCAGAAAATCTGAAGGATATGGTACTTAATCAAATTTTTATAAGGCACATTTTGGAAGTGTCAGAAAAATGTATTTTTCCACTGTCCAAAATGTTCACCCTTAAAACATCTGTAACCTTCAATTGCTATTAATTTGCCTATGAAGATTTTACATACACACATCCCACCCACACTACGTGGGTTGGTGATCAGCCTCACTTGTGACTGTGTGATCTACATGCCAAGTACAGATTGTAAATACTGTATGTATCACACACAAACATTATCCACAAAATTATATGC